TTAGCTTTAGGTATAGAAGCGAGTATCGGATGAGCCACAAGTAGGATCATCCCTAGGTGTAGAATGGGCAACAACAGCCAAGAAACACCCATACGTATGACAGACAAATCGAACAAATTCACCCATTCGATTTTTTCCGCACACCGATGTTGTAAACTTTTCCGAATAAACACTATCGAATATCTCTTCTGTTACATCATTTTGAAAAATAATGTTTTGACAAAGATTGTAGAATAGAACATTATGCAAAATTCACTTCGGAAAATTACCTGCAAATTTTCTCCTCTAGAAAATATTGTCATGATTCTTGGAATTTTTCGTACTTTATAAAGCATTATTAAGCGTACGTACACACGTGTATATATTTAAAAAATTGGAATCATTGTTAAAAAACACACATACGTTTGAGATTCAATGATAACAACGAAACTGTTTCTATGAGAGTGACAGAATATGAAGAAAATCGACATCTTGTCTATTCGATTCGAGAGGTAAAGACTCGACACATGTAAATACTCGTTTTCAAACATGGTATGCAGGAGACAAGTAACGAAACGTATAATTATATGATGACAGATGGGTGACTGGTAGTCGTTCTTACGAACGTCGTAATGCAGATTTGATAATAATTATAGAGGTACTGTAAAACGGAACATTATGCGAGCCTCGCTCCTGAAAATTAACTGGTAATTTTGTCCTCTAATAAATTATTACGATTCTTGTTCTCTACGAGACATTATCGTGCGTCTGTACACGCGTATGTATATTTGAAATGTGTCTGAAATAATGCTAAGTTTTAATTTCAGAATAATTACAAACAGTTATTTTGCAAAGTGTAAATCTTCGAGGGAGACATCAATATGTTGATTTACACATGTGACCGTAGTAATAATGTTACCGGAGAGAATTTTATAGTAGACACAGTTATGAAAGTATAATTCACTTCCTGAGAACGCGACAATATGTTGACATTTCCTGGAGGAAGAGATAACACTCCTAAATTGTATGCTATGGTATCGTTATAATTACAACTCTTGTAAGACCGATAATAATGTAGACGAGATGCCACGACGTCAAATTATTAATCCGTTGTCAATTTTAGTCGCACAGGGTAGATCAAGTTGAAGCAGACTCGCTTATTCGTAGTACCTTACGAGCCCTTTGTCTCGCGTGCACACGTTTGCACACTACTGTATACTAATTTTTTTATCAATTCGTAGACGAATGTTAGTAGTAACGTGATTTTGTGTAGTTATTGAGGTTGTTTGTTATTTGTTTTGTTAATTATTATAAATTTTTTGCACAAAGCATACCACACAAAGATGCAAGAACAGATTTATAGAAATATTTTCGCACAATAGTTTTCTACGCATTTCAATACATTTGAAATAGATTATTTGCAAAAAAGAGAAGTTCACATTCCATATAGCAACGTCAATTATCACTGCGTAGTAAGAATGTTAAGCGCCACGTAAAAACTATCTATAAATTTACTTTCTTTAATGAATAAGAAAATCTATCGCTTTTGATTGCAGCAACTATGGAGATACTGTTTTTCAACTTCTTATTATATACCATCAGTGGTTTGTGGCGACCAGTACAATGGTCTTCAAAACGCTCCAAGTTGCTATACAACGTGTTCACTTTCTTGACGATGTACCTATTGATATATGTTGTGCTGACTCACATCATGTATATCATCTTAGTTGTCAAAAACTTTGAAGACTTGGCTTCGTGTTCCTTTTTTTCCGCCTCATTAACCAGCTTATTGTTCAAAGCGATTACTGTTATATCCCGTCGCGATCAAATTATCAATTTGATCCAAATACTGCAAGAGGAACCATGCAAAGCCCGCGACAAAGAGGAGATTGATATCGAGATGAAATTCGATCGATCTATTAGGTTAGTATATCCGAACGCGGATGCGATTGTCGAAGTCATTTATAGCAAGTAAATCGATCTGTGAGTCGATAATATAAACTGTCTAATAAAATAGAAACGAACAGAGATCTCTATACTAACACCTAGACTCGCTACTTTGGACCTTGGACATGCGTCGCACGAGGTTTCCGATTGCAAGTCGGAAAGTGGCAGTGGTCCTATGTGTGCTAAGTGTGTTATTTGTGTGCGTCTTATTTACAGCCACAGATGTCTACATTTACAGCGTGTGTGTCGGTGTGGCTGTCGTAAAACCAGGAAAATCTTTTTTAAAAACAAAAATGCCGGCAACTTGTTGTATCAAGAAGTGTCGCAAGCGAGCAAAAGATGGTATTAGTCTATTTGGGTAAGTCATCCCAGCAAACACAGAACAATGCAGTTACATTACAGCAATGTTGTAACAATGTAGCAACGTTATCATGACAGCAATATTGCAAAAGTACCGCAACGTTACTGCAATGTGCTTGCTGAGATATTTATAATAAATATTTCACAAAAGTAAATAGCAGTTAATGCAATTTTTTGATTACGATATAAATGCAATTTTTTATTTTTTAGCTTTCCACTTAAAAGAGAAGACCATTTAAAGAAATAGCTTCAAAATAATGGAGACTTGAATTGTAAACCCGAAAAATTTGATGTTATGTGCTCTGCACTTTTTTAGCAAAAGGATTTTATGACACAGTAAAAGGTGCATGCTCTTAAATTATAATGCAGTTCCATCGATATCCTCCAACATACTTGAATATGAATCTTCACAAACTTTACCGAAATATTCAGTCGTTAATTCCCCAACCACATTCGCAATATCACAAGAAAAACATTCAATTGATTCTCTGATAATTACACATTTTAATTTCATATTTTAAATTATATGTTTCTTTTCTTATAAATATGTATGTAACATGGTAAAATTTATAAAACGTTCTGATTAAATATATATACACACATGTATATTTATTTATTATATGCTTTATTACCTTTAGCATACAGCCAGAAAGTGGGACTTGGTTTACAATAGTTCCTTAACCACTCATTCATCCATACTCTCATTCATACTCTTTCTAATCTCTATAACCCCTAATCTCTTTCCCTTCTTATTTCTTACTTCTAATTTCTTATTTCTACAATGACTAGCTCATCTTTTTTTGCCTTTCTTTTCCTTCCATAATTTACATAATATCTTTCCTTTATCTTCATCTATTACATCGTTATATAATCTTTCCAACTTCATTTCCATACTATTACCTAATTCTAAAAACCAGTCTTTCGTCGTTTTACAATCCTTTATACATATAGTGCTCTATATTATCTTTACCCTCCTTACAAAATATACATATTCTTCGTTCATTTTCTTGTTCCAACTAGTATTTGTTATCTTCCTCCATGTTTCCGCATCTTAATCTTATCAGCGCTCTAATTTCCTTACCTTTTCCCATCATATCTATATTTCTAAACTCTAAGTATCTCGGCCTCCCCTCCGCATTGCTTAAATCTCTGTATCTCTTATTATACTTCCCTAATCCTACCTTCTTCCCATTGCCTCTATATACACACATATATATACATATGTGTGTTTAATAATGTTTTTAAATTAATTTTTTTCCACATTTAAATGGATTCTTTTATTAATCAAAAATAAGATTTTAAAATTAATTTACATAAATTGTTATATGTAAACAATAATTGTAAAAAAATTTTAATATCGTACGTAATAACTGTTTTAAATAAGATAGCAGCGGCCATTTTTCCACGTACACCGGAAACCCTATCGGAAGTTCGCAGTACGAGTCCAAATGTGGCATGTTGCGATCTAAGTGTTAGTATAGACATTTGTGGGAATAAATAAATAAATTGAACTAAACAAACTGAACTAAATTTAATTGAATTTTAAATTTTTTTCACGAGATTTTAAGCAAATAAACTGAACTGTGAATAGGCTCGTTGTTATGCAATCGCAAGTGTTTTCCATGTATATCTCGTTATTGTAGTGTCAACGGTTTTTACAAAGCTATTTACAATATTGTGCGCAATAGCGACCGGATAATGAAATCTCCGATAACATTTTTGTCGCACGCTCACAGAAGTCCTGAGAGAAAATTATTTATATGTAGAATTACATATAATATATATCCATATATGTTTTTCTCCTTTATACCTAAACAATTTTTTCTCGGAGAGTGTTGTTCAATTAATGTAGTTTTGAGAGCTCTTGTCCGTCCTTATTATACAGGGAGTGAACAAAATAACATGAACACCATGTCTTACATCGTAAATTTCTACATGTTGACAACCCTGACAGTAAGTATATGAATGTTGCGATTATCTTTTTTTTTCACTAATTATACCTTCCAAGTTGTGACTCAGTACATTATACGTTGTGTTCAGCTACGATTAGTACGAGCGAACGGTAAAAGGAGTGACTTATTAGACTTCTAACGAGGACAAATCATTGGTGCTCGTTTAGTAGGAGTATCTGTAATTAAAACAGCTCAATTTTTTTTACGTTTTAAAAGTAATCTCCACAATTATGACAGCATAGGTAATATTTTTCGCAATACATTTTCTGTATTATTAAAAATGCCGGATATGGTCAAGAAAACACTAACGTTGATAGTTACCATTGGCGACATTGACGAATTCTAATTATTAAAGGTAAGGTTTGGTGAAAACGAGCTTAACTACATTGAAACAAAATCTGATAGATTCAACCAGTCATCTGTTAGAAAATGGACGAATCAGAATTCTTTTAGGATTTACCAGATGTGTAGTGAAGTCTAGCAAACTTCTGGTCATGAAAGATAGAAGTTTGTTAGACTTCGCTACACATCTGGTAAATCCTAAAAGAATTCTGATTCGTCCATTTTCTAACAGACGACTGGTTGAATTCATCAAAATTTTTTTTTTCAGTGTAGGACTGTGTGTCCAAACAACACAAAACTACCGCGCTAAAAGTGACGGCTAAACTAGTGAAGAGAGAAACAAAAGATAATCGGATCATTTATTTGTTGTCAGGATTGTCGACAAGTAAAAACTTACGATATAAGATGATATTATTTTGTTTACCCCCCTGTACATATGCCGAATATTATATATTTATTATGTATTTTTTTAAATGTAGATCATATTCTATGCGATACATAATCTTGTGTACGTTCTCGATAACGAGCGCTGTGATAGGAGGGATACTCTATATATTAGAGGGCCAGATACCATTTGGATTCGCGTCGGTACCTTGGGATTGCACTTCATTTCTTATATTCTTATTGACGTCTATTCAAGAAATTGTAGGTGTAATTCTTGGCACAATTATAAACGTCGCGACAGAAACTACCTTATTAGGATTTTGCTTACAAACATGCGCACGATTCGAAATTCTAAAGCATCGCCTTCAGAAAATGATAAAACATAGTGAGAAAAAGAGCATTTGGACAAATTCGTCGAATAATATATTGGGAAAAAGGAGCAGATTATCGGAACACGTTTCCCATCACCTATGTATATTCAGGTTTGTCAAATGGATAATAGTGTACTTTATGTATGCATTATTTTAATAAATATGGTAAATAATATTCAATATACGAGTATACATACATGTATCATCTGAGATCAAAATATCTCGCCTATCATGTTAGCGGATGTTTTATATTCCTTTAATTAACACGTTGCCGTTTGTTAACTTGTAATTTTTTAGCTGTATGTAATTATGACGCAACATACATATAATTTATATCTTAATTTATATCTTAATTTATAGACTTGCACAATTCATTAACGACATATTCAGCCAAGTGATCTTTGTTCAATTTAGTACCAGCGCTTTGGTACTCTGTTCAACCATATACTATCTGTCTTTCCATATCACAGTTACCACCATGGCCACCTTAACCGTCTACACATTTTGCATGTTTGTGCAGATTTTTTATTATTGCTGGGCCGGAAACGAAGTTACACTTAAGGTAGTCTATAAAAATATAGATTTGAACAAAAGAATGTTTTATAAGAATTTTCTTACGATAACAAATTGTGTTTTCTAATGACAGTTCTAATGGCAATTATCCTGATCGTTATTATTTACGCAGAGTATTCGATTCAGCGACGAGATATATAATATGGACTGGTTATTGATGACAAGTAGCGAACAGAAAGATTTGTTGATGATTATGAAACGTAGCACAAGACCTATCAAATTTACCAGCAGTTTTTTGGTGACATTGTCTCTGGAATCGTTTGCCAACGTCAGTATGAAAATTAAAAACTATTGTCGATTAATTTCCACTAATTAAGTACTCTGTACATATAAAACAAAGAGAATAAAGTAAATGAAGTAAGCAAAAAGAAGGGAAAAGTAGACTGATCAATTTAATCATTTACGCATTCATAAGAAAGTCACGGAAAATCTCATAAAATTGTACTAGTATTTGAGCTCTTTTTATTAAAATATTATAAATCAGTGACTTTTTCGCTATAGCAGTTCTAATGTTCGAGATTCCTTAAATGTTTTTTGCACGTTGTCTCTACTAAATTTTTATTTTACTTTATAGATTCTGAAGGCATCCTTCTCTGCATTTAATATTTTGCAACAATTGTGAAGCTTCATTTGTTTTTTGGAAATACACCAAGTAAGTAATTTCATAAATAAATCGGCTCTCATAGAATATTTATAACAATTGCTGATTTTTTCAACAAAAATGACTAGCGTGCGAATTTGTCAATGCATTACAGATGCGAACTTTAAGTAACGGAATGGCACTGCATAAAATTTGTAATTAAATTCGTAATAAATTGTAATAGATTTCGTTTTGGACATGCTGAGATGCTTGCATTTTCACATATAAAGATATTTGGAAGAAAAGACACAAATTGCTTTCGCTATAAATTATTTCGAAAACTAATCTTATCCCTTGACAGTTGATAATCAGTTGGAAAATGTAAATGAAATACGAATCCCAAGATACGTTCGCGGAGCCACTATTAGCGCTGAAAGGACCAGTCTATCTTTGTTGCTCATTACATGTCAAAGAAAATTAGAAGACTTTTAGTATTAAGGGCTCAAACCCATATTCTCTAAGACGCAACAGGAAGGTTTCGACTAACCTTACTGTTACGTCTTATAGAAAGTGTGTGTGAAGGCTCTAACAGCGCACTACGCGAATGCATCCCTATAGTCAGACGTCATGTATGTGTAAGCTTACGACTATTCGCATTACATTCATAGTATACGGCTGTTACCAACTATCAAGGAAAACGGTTAGTTTTCGGAATATTTTAAGTGTGCTAAAGCGAGCTAAGGCGTTATTTCTTCCAAATATCATCAATGTAGAATTTCTGTTTTATGTAATTTATAAGGTAATGAGATATTAACAAACGAGAAGAAAAATTTTTAATTGAATAAGAAAATAGTCCTTGCATTGTACTGAACTCCGATTTTACTTTACAGATTCTGAAGACATCCTTTTATGTATTTAATGTTTTACAGCAATTGTAAAATTTTATTTGTCCTTCGGCAATACACTATGTATACATTAATTACATTAATAAATAACTTATCGTAGAATATAAACAATAATTCTGTATTTTTCAACGAAAAATTGGCTAGCGATTGGCGGAAACTGTGCGGATCCCCCACCAAACCTGGGATGCGCAGAACGAAACGAAACTCGTCACGAGGATTGCCTCACCTTATATCTTTCCACCATGCACGGTAGGGTCTCGCGCAAAGTATAAGCGTAGCTAGAACCGCGCGCGCGAGTATAATTATACGACAACGGAGGGTGAATATTGGTCGTTATTACAAACGTCATAATATTATTAATATTATTAATAGATTTGATAATTATAGGGACATTGTATAACGGAGCATTGTGTGGAATGCACCCCTAGAAATTAACTGATATTTTCTCCTTTAATAAAATTATTATAAGGAATTGTCGTACATGCCGCCTGTATGTGCGTGTGTGTGAAATGTATGAAATATCGTTATGTTCTAACACTTAACGTTAGACTTATAAAGAATAACTATACACAATGATTATAGAGATATTGATTCACACATGTGAATACTTATTAATAATGCTACTTGCGAGAATTGTACGGTATTCACCTCTACGCAAATGTAATTTATTTCCTGAGAAAACGACAATATGTTGGCGTTGCTTGAGGGAGAGGAAAAGTTGACATTCTTCAGTTCCATGTAATTACATTGTTATTGTTACAACTCTAAGGCCGTAATAAGGCATTTACAAGATACCACGACGTCAAATTATTAATACGTCGTTAATTTTAAGTAGTATAGGGTTGACGTAGTTAACGCAAACTCGCTTGCCCGTAGTGTCTTACAAACCTTTGTCGCACGTGCACGTTGGCACAATACTATATACTAATTTTTTATCGATACGGATATAAACGTTAGTAAATGTGGTTTGTTATTAACATTAATTATAAGGTGTTTTCATAAAGCAAGCACAAGGATATATGAAAGAAGGAGATTTACGGAAATATTTTCATAAATTCGTTTTCTACGAATTTTTGAAATTACCATTCGAATATATTTTAATTGTATTATTTTCAAAAGTGAGACTCTCTTCCCATAAAAAACGACAGTGCGATATTATTTGTTACTATGTCGTAAGAATATTTGGCGTGAGGCTACTTATGAGAATACTTTTATTAATTAATAAGAAACTCTATCTCTCTTGCTTTTGATTGTAGCAACTATGGAAATCAAGATACTTTCTCTCAATTTCTTCTTGTTTACCATTGTTGGTTTGTGGCGACCAGTCCAATGGTCTTCGAAACTTTTCAAATCGCTATATAACGTGTACACTGTCGTGGCGCTGTATCTAATGATGTATAACTTTCTGATTCACTTGATGTATATCATCTTCGTTATCGACAACATAGATGACTTGGCCTCGAAGTCTTCTCTTTTTTTCTCGGTAATCGCCGTAAATATCAAAGCGATTACTCTTATAACCCGTCGCGCTCAAATTATTAATTTAATCGAAATACTGCAAGAGGAACCATGCAGAGCCCGCGACAAAGATGAGATTGATATCGAGATGAAATTCGATCAAGCAATCAGGTTAGTATATCCAGGCGCTAATGCAATTTTCGAAATCAATTAAGTAAGTAAGTAAATCGATCAGTGAGTCGACAATATAAACAAATATCTAATAAAATGAAAACAAAAAATAAATCGAATCAGAAAAACTGAATTAAATTTAGTTAAATTAAAAATTTTTTACGAGTTTTTAAGCAAATAAATTGAGCAGTGTACAATCATAAATAAATCTGTGTTTACATGTGTATGTTGTTATTGTAAAATCGGTAGCCATTTATAATATTGTGTGTAATGGCGACAATAAAAGACGTTTCCGAAAATATTTCTCACCGCACACTCGCTGAAATCCCGAGAGAAAATTATTCATGTATAATTACATACAAAATATCTCCGTATCTACATTTTCTCTTTCTCTTGTATACCCTCTACTTTTGTATATAGTAAAAAATAATAAGGAAAAGAGTAAAAATAACTTTTGCTTAATTTTGCAACTGAAACCATTTTCTTTACAAAAAGTAAAACGATTCCGATTAAACATACAATAGCTTGTATTCAATCATATTTTATATACAATTATTACATTTTATACGTATTATACATAGAAAATTTTTACCACTTTATCAAGCTTTATTATTTTAAATAACGCAAAAATTAATCTTTTAATTATTTTTAATTTTTCTTTTTATTATTTTTCTTACATATACAAACAGAGATTCTAGAAAAGAAAGAAAACGTTATACAGGGTGTTATGTAATACCCGCA